CCCCAGATGGCACCACAGGTATCCTAAGAGGATGTGGGTAAAACAGAGTTGTTCTGAGCCTTAGTCAGTGAAGGAGATCAGAAAAGAATTTGTTGGAACTGAGGGCCAGAAGCCAAGCCTGAGACATTCATAACAAGTTTTACCTTTATACTTTAAGGACGCAGACTCTGGACTCAGACAGAGCAAAGTTCTAAGGCCAGCCATGTGGCATTGAACAAATTACTTAAACTCTGTTTGGCTCAATAACCAATTTCCATAACCATGAAACAGAAGTAATAACAGTGTCTGCCTCAGGACTGTTGTAAGAATTAGATGAGATAATATTTATAAAACAATGTCTGGCACATAGCAAACAATCATCAAATAATAGCCTTTGTTATCAATTTATTGTTTTAATGGATATGAAAAACTAGATAATTAATTTTAACCCCTTAATCACTAGATTGTAACACAGATGCATTCATTTATTTGAGAAATATTTATGAAGCATCTACTATGTGCCAGGCATGTTTTTTTTTTTGGTACTATCAGGGAGAAATCAATATCTATGGTCTTAAGACCTTAACCTGGTGTTAAGATCTCAAAGGATCTATGAATCAGATGGCGAAAAATGAATCCTTATTTTTACTAAACTAACTAAACTTTAGTGTTTCCTTCAATTATGAATGTAGGCAACAAACTACAACAGTATCGGCAGTACATGTGACTTTGTCACCAACAGAAATAAATACTTTCATATCACATTACAGTTATTGCCAATAGCTAGACACATTCGCTGGAAATAACATTTCAACAATTTATGATATTGGTAAAGAACTTTTAAGTACTGCTATTTTATGCATTAATGAAGAAGCACATATATCAATATAACAATCATTATGAGCATGCTTTATGTTCTTGACTATTGTCAGCCCAGGGTGAGTTTCCCTTGGATGCTTTTTCCCTTGAGTACCAGAACAATTCTTGTTTCTTCTAGTAATCTAGCATTATATCCTGGACACTGTCCATAATGAGTTCTAGTAGATTTGGCTTCTTAGTTTCTGTTATATTTCTCCAGAGATGGGTCATTGTTTGTTATTGTTGTTGTGGTGGTGGTGGTGGTGGTGGTGGTGGTGGTGGTGACGGTGGTTTGTTGTCTTAGTAGACAACTAACCTAGCTAAACTCACACTAAGTCTCCCCTGTATTGGGTACCAACTGCAATCTCCAGACCCCGTTTCCACGGTATTGGGCATCAGCTGAAACCTCTGCTCAGTTCTTTTCTTGGACTCTGCCCTGTGCATGCATAGCTCCAGGGTCAACCAGAGATTTGGGCAGAGTGTACAGGCCAAACATGGAGCTCGTCCATACGGTGCTTCTCTGCTCCCAGATATTGCCCCTCCTGCTTTCCCTCTGCCATGGCCACCCTAAAATCTGCTCTCTGGGTCTCTGAGTTTTAGCCACCCAGCACAGCATTCTCTGTGGCCCACACTCACATGCAGACAAGCAAGAAACTCACCTTTGCAGAGAGGAACAAGGTTACAAACCTCACCGCAGTGCTCAGCAGTTCGGGCTCCCCTGTTGCTCCCACCAATGACTGGGCAGACATTGCAGACGCTGCCAAGAGAACCACAGCTACCAGTGCTTCTCAAGGAATGGGTGGCATGACGCCTGCCACCAGCAGCCCAGCCTGAGTGAAATCTGTGGGGACCCTGCTTCTTCCCACCTCGGGCCTCAGACTCAATGGGTAGTGGGTTCATGTGATTGGTGGAGCCTGAGTTAGGTGCCCAAGCTGTAGCTACAAGGGAAGCTGGGAGAGTGAATACTAACCATCTTCGGGATCTACAGTGGGAGGCAAATTCTACTTCGTGGGATGGGGCAATGCCCCAAACAAAGAATGGTTAATATAAAAATGATTGTCATTGTCTACTTTATATGGTATTAAATGGACAGAAGAAAGAAGAGAAACACAGGTTAAGAAACAAAACACACAGATTACCAATATCAGGAATCAGGGTGGCGTTATCACTGTAGATAATAATAGAACATCATGTACAACTTTATATTAATAAATTTGGCAACTTACATGAAATGGGCAAATTTCTTGAAAGATACAAATAGCAAAGCTCAGTCAAAAAGAAATAGATACAGGCATACCTTCGAGATAGTATGCCTTCTGTTCCAGACCAGGACAATAAAGCAAATATCACAATAAGCCAGTTACCCAAATTTTTTGGTTTCCCAGTGCATACAAAACTATAGCCTATTAAGTGTACAATAGTATTATGTCTGAAAAAATGTACTCATCTTAATTTTAAAATATTTTATTGCTAAAAATGCTAATGATCATCTCAGAGTTTGGTGTGTGCTGAGGGCCTTCTTACCATGTCCTCATATGGTGGAAGGCAGACACAAAACAGCAAGTTAACCAGATGCTGCACGAAGCCTCTTTCATAAGGGCCTTAATTCCGTTCTGAGGTAGTAGCCCTCTGGCCTAATCACCTTTTAATAGATCTAGGTCTCTCTCTCTTCTCCCTTCTGTCCATTTAATACTACATAAAGTAGACAATGACAGTGCCTCACCTCTTAATAATATCACATTGGCAACACCTGAATTTTGGAAGGGATACATTCAAACTATACCATCCAGTCTCAGGTATTTTGTCATGGCAGTGAAAATTAAGACAATTTCCAAATATTTTGTTGAGTGAAAGGAACCAAACACAAAAGAAGACTTATTATAATATTTTATTATATAAAACTCTAGAAAATACCTTATAGTGACAGAAAGCAGATAATTGGTTGCCTAGGGACAGGAGAGGAGAAGAGAAAGGGATAGTCATGGGCATGAGGAAATTTTGAAGGTGATGGAAATCCTTATTGCCTTGATTGTGGTGATGGTTTCATACGTTTGTGTGTGTGTATGTGTGTGAAAGCTTATCAAGTTGTTTAGCTGAAACATGACAAACTCACAGTTTACTGTCTGTCAAATATATCTCAGTATAAACAGACAACCTACAGAATGGGAGAAAATCATCTGACAAAGGTCTAATATCCAGAATATAACCCTATCAAAAAATGGGCAAAAGATGTGAACAGACACTTCTCAAAAGAAGACATACAAGTGGCCAACAAACATATGAAAAAAATGCTCTCATCACTAATCATCAGAGAAATGCAAATCGAAACCACAATGGGACAGTGTCTCACTCCAGTGAGAATGGCCATTATTTAAGTCAAAAAATAACAGATGCTGGAGAGACTGTGGAGAAAAGGGGATGTTTATACACTGCTGATGGGAATGTAAATTATTTCAGCCACTGTGGAAAGCAGTTTGGAGATTTCTCAAAGTACTTAAAACAGAGCTACCATTTGACCCAGCAATCCCAGTACTGGGTATATACCCAAAGGAAAATAAATCATTTTTTCACCAAGACACATGTACCTGTATGGTCATCACAGCACTATTCACAATAGCAAAGACGTGGAATCAACCTAGGTGATCATCAATGGTGGACTGGATAAAGAAAATGTGGTAGGTATTCACCACAGAATACTATGCAGCCACAAAAAAAGGAATTAAATCATGTCCTTTGCAGCAACATGGATGCAGCTAGAGGATGTTATCCTAAGTGAATTAATGCAGGAACATAAAACCAAATGCCACACATTCTCATTTATAAGTGGGAGCTAAACATTGGGTACTTGTGGACATAAAGATGGGAACAACAGACAATGGGAACTACAAGAGGGGTCAGGGAGGGAGGGGTCAAGGGTTTAAAAAGTAACTATTGGGTACTATGTTCAGTACTCGGATGACAGGATCATTTGTACCCCAAACCTCAACATCACACACTATACTGAGGCAACAAACCTGCACATGTACCCCCTAAATCTAAAACATAAAATTTCTCAGGAACTAAATGTCTGTGTATATATATATATACACATACACACACACATATATACACACATTGCACATAATGAGCTAGCTTCCTGTTTTGTCTCTACACACACACACACACACACACACATATATATATATATATATATATATATATATACACACTGCACATAACATTGGGCAAACTACTTGAACAGACACTTTACAAAGAAAGATATAGAAATGGCCAGTGAGCACATAAAAGCATACTCAACATAATTAGTCATCAGGGAGATGATAATTGAAATAACAATGAGATATCACTTCCCACCCTCTCAGATGGCTAAAAATAAAGGCTGACAACCTCAAATGTTGATGAGGATGTGAAAGAAAAGGATCTCTCATACATTTCTGGTGGGAATGTAAATTGCACAACCACTTTGGAATACATTCTGGCAGTTTCTTATAAAACATAAAACTATCCTATGATGTAGCAATTCATCTCTTAGGTATTTGCCCAAGAAAAATGAAAGCATATGTCCACACAAAGATGTGTACATGAATATTCATAGTAGCTTTATTTATGATCACCCAAACTGGAAACAGCCCAGATCATAACCTGGTGAATAAACAAACCAACTCTGATATATCCAAACAACAGCATACTACTCAGCGACAGCACATTCAACAACATAGATAAATCTTAAAAACATCACTTTGAAAGAAAGAATCCAGACACACAATAGTACAGACGATCTGATTCCATTCATACAGAATAGTGGCTTTCCTGGTCTATCGCCCTCAGTTCCCGACCCTTCACTCCCCCCACCACCATCTTGAAGACGCCCAAAGGGGAGAGGTCTCTTCCATTCCTTCGTTCCCTCCTTCGTCTGCTGGTCGATTTGTTTGCTCGTTCATTCATTCATTCTCACGCTCATTCCACTCCTCCCCACCTCCCCACAAGCGTTCAGCCAGCGCGCGCAGCTCCCCCGCAGGCTGATCAGATTTGCCTGCCCAGTCCGCCCCGCCCCAAACCCCGCCCTTTTCCCGCCCCGCCCCCTTTCCTGGCCAATCGGGGCCGAGACTGGGGCCGGGGCGGGGCCTCGCTCCCTCAGAACCCCGGGCGGCGCTCACGGCTCCGGAAACGCGCCGCGGGGCTGTTAGCTCTGCCGGGCACTGGCGGCTCCGTGGCGCTTCCTGCCACGCCAGGCCTGCCTGGGCCGCGCCAGCGCTGCTCCACCGAGGGCCGCGCGTCGGCCGCCGCCGGGCCTGGGTGAGTGTGCGGGCCGCGGGAGGATGTGCGGGGGCGCTGGAGGGGCCGCAGGGCGGAGGTGATCGTGGCGGCGGCAGGAGGACCTGAGGGCCCGAGTGAGCGTGCAGGGCCGCGAGAGGATGTGCAGGAGGCGCAGGACCGTGTGCGGGGCTGGAGCGAGTGTGCGGGCCGCAGAAGAGTGCACGGTGCAGGGAGGGGGCGTCTCTGGGCTGTTGGAGAGCTAGCTGCTCGGCCTTGGGCTGGCCAGAGCTGGGAACGGGTCCCGGATGACGAGTACGAAGAGGCCCGAAGGCCTTCCCGAGGCAGGCGGGGGGCGGCGGTCCCGGGTGGGAATTGCTAAAGTGCGGAGGCCTGCTCTGCTCTTTGGGGGAAGCTAGGAGTGGGAACCGCTCAGGGGCAGACAGAGAGGACCCCCGCCCCTAACGCCTAGGAGCCCGATCTGGAGGGGGCGTTGTAGGGGTGGGGATTAAAGGACTTTTCCCTGGTCTAGGGGAGGGGCTGAGCCGCAGTCTGAGCGCTGGGAGGGTGGGCTAGGTGGGAACAATTCCCGCTGGGGAGTCCCTCCTTTCCTTTTGAGTGGGTTGGGTGGGGGTTAAGCCTCAGCTTGGTGGGGAGGATGGGGGCAGGTAGGTAGCCTAGAGAGAGAACTGTGGGGAGGGAGGGGAAAGGGGGCCGTGAGCTGAGCTCAAGGCCCTCTGTCTGAACCAGTCTTTTTCTCTCCCCTACTGGGGGCTGCCATCTCCCACTCCAGTGCCCCTGCCCCCTTAAACTCCTTTGCTGGCTCCTCCAGTCTATATTTGGGTGATTAATTACATGTCTTTTCCACAACCCCCCCCGCCCCCACTCGCCTGCCGCCCAAAGTCCATGGTCCCTTTCAAACAACCCCCACCCCCATTCCTGGCCCTCTTCCCAGAGGTCCCACCCTGCCACCCTGTTCCAACTGAAGCCCTCCAGCCAGCCTTGGCCTAGCTGGGCCCGCGGCCCCCCTCCAGTCTCCTTGGTCAATGAAACATTTCCTCTTCAACCTCAGCCCGACATTTTTCCTTTACAAGAGAATTTCAGATAGGATTGCGGGAACAGCACCTCCCCTAGGTACTAATGCTGCCTCAGCCCTTCCCCACCCCCACGGTCCCTCCACCCCACAACATTGGACCTTCAAGTAGAAGCCACTTGCACAGTGTCTGACCCAGTTCAGTATATCCCCCTAGTAACATTTGTGGGAGATGTACTACTGAACTGGGCCAGACACTGTGAGTTTTATATATAGAACCCTATTGAGTAGTGATTTTCAGCCTTCTGTCTGTGAGGGACCCCTTGGAAATCTACTAGAACGTGTGAATTCTCTTCTAACCATCAGCACAGACTCGGAGATAGTGGGCTCCCATTTCACAAGGCTCCTGGGCAGGAATCCTGTCAATGACAGAGATTCTGAGAGTTGGAGAATCTGGGAACCTCCAGATTCTAGACAGGCCCAGTGTTAAGGAGGTGCAGCTCTGCATCATAATCTCCTGGGGTGCTTGTTAAAAAATGCAGATCCCTTGGTATCTCCCAAACCAGCTACACTCCCATATGAGTTGTTAGTGAACTCCAAACCAACTTTCTCACCCGATGATCCAGCCCTTACCCAAACCTGCCTGGGCTCCTTGGATGGCCCTGGGCTCCTTGCAATTTGCATAGCATCCCACCCCACCCCCAGTTTCAAATCCTTTGTATCCAGGCAGTGTTACCTAAAGGCAGCTATACTTACAATTTATTTCGATTTTTAGTAAGATGCCATGAATATTCTTGGGGAAATGGGAACACAAAACTTTCCTCAATTAAGTACAACAAACACTACAAAATCCCCTTCTGGTCTACCTTCTGGGTTTTTATAGAAAAGAAATAAGATAGAAACCCAAACAGAAAGAGACAGGTGCCCAGGCAAAGTGAGAGAGGAAACAGATGCCTTCCCACCCACACATACGGAAAAAGGCACACACAGACACAAATACCCCAAGAGAGACAGACTTTCCTGGTGAGACACCCTCTCTTTAGACCCTTCAGGATTCTGCTACTTACAGTAGCAGCCTGTTTGCTGCTTTGGGACGGGACAGGGTGGGCCCACGTGGGGCCTTCACTTCTGCCTCCTGGCCTGTCAGGTGGAAAGAACATGAAGGCCAGGCCCAGCGTGGCCCTGGGCTTGGCTCAAGGGTTGCATCCTGACCTGGCTAGGGTGGATCCAGATTGTGGTGGTGTACATTCAGTTGAACCCTGTATCTGGCCCAGTTCAGTACATCCCCCAAAATGTGGGGGCCAGGTTGCTGGGAGGCGCACATGGGTCTGCCTCTGTTCACCTGAATTATTGCAATCCAACAGGTGGGACCTTACCTGCCAGGCTGATCCGTTGGAGTAGTTCTGAGCCATGATGAGTCATCCGTGTGTGTCTCTTTTGGGTAAGTCTCGGTGTTTATACGTGGTGTCTGCTGGCCTCGACGCTGGGCATGCTATCAGAAGACCCTATAGGTGGGGTTACAACATGGTGAGGAGTATCGTTTTGGTTCCAGAAGCACTTATATTTTCATCTATGCCAGTGTTGCTGAACTGTCTTTGCCCAGAGACAGTTCTCTCAATCCAAGCAACACAACTCACAGGAGAAAAGATATTCAGGAAAGAGAATTTGGAATCTAATCTCCCTTTTGGGTGGGAGAGGGAGCAGAAGCCATCCATCTGAATTGGATCTCTTGTGAGTGGAAACCTTTGAAGACACCCTTTGGGGTACATTTGCTCTGGCCTAGAACTGAACAGAACACAAGCCACCTGTTGTCTTCTGGGTAAACTCAAGCTTTAGGGCCTGAGGACATTCTGCTCCAGGTCTTTATTTAGATGCTTCAGAGAGTTCAGGTGTTTCTGGCACCCCTTGGAAGCTTCTGGAACCTTCCAGATGAGGCTTATTTGGGTGGCCTCGCTGCCTTTCCCCTGCCCAGGGAAGGACAGCGCCCCTGTTAGAGAATGTTGCTTGGCTATTTGTGTGATAAAATCAGTTGAATGCTGGTCTTTAGGCTCAGAAGCTACTGTTAGCCAGTAGCCAAACATTCAGCAGTGAGGCAGGAGTGTCTTTAATCCAAAGACAACCAGGAAACATCTCATTATTACTACATTTTGTGACGTGGGTTGTTTTTTGTCTCTGTTGAGTTCAACTCTTCATTTCTGTTCTTCCACATCAAAGTGGAATGATTATTTTGAGTCTCTTAGTGTTTTCTGCTTCCATGCGGTAAATTTGATTTAAATAAGTTGGTTAAAATTTACATTGCGATCTAAAGCACGTGAGCAGGAAGATTTGTTCGCTCATGTGAGCTCTCGTGTTTTAGAAAGCATAATTTTTCAAATTATCAGGCAGTAGGTTGACATTGACATCATTATTTTCCATTTATTCTAGCAGATGTTTGTTAAACAGCTGCAGTGTAATGGTGCTTGCCTAGGTCCAGTGTGCAATTCACAGCTGACCTTGACAGGGCCTTTGCTTTCTGGGAGTTTATAGTCTTTAGACTATCTTCAGATCCCATTGAAAAAAGGAGAATAATACCACTTATATTAAGGGTTGGAAATGTATTTTCCCACAGTATTTCTTTGAGCGTTCATATTTCCCAGTTGTATGTAGGAGTGCACCCTACGAGATTGAGGACATGCTTTTGTGCTGTGAGTGAAAGTGCCTTACTTCAAGGTCAGCATTACCCTGTGTGTCCATCGGGTGTGCATTACAATGATTTTCATGTTCTGTCTGGAATTCCTTCGACCTTGATTCCCCAAGATCCACTGTCAGAAGGCAGTGGACACCTGCATTTGTCACTTTTTTCACAGCATCCAGCTTCTTTTCCTGATTAGTTCCACCATTTTAAAATAGAACAGTTGTGCAACATAGATCCTAAATGATCCGATTATCACTAGGATTGATGATAATTTTATTTTGATCTGCAGTAGGGATTAATGTGTTATCTTTTTTTTAATGACCTTCCTTTGCTTCTCATGAAGCTCTTTTACCTGATATACTTGATTGATTAATTATGCAAAGTTTCATTTCCTTTTGTGGAAGCAGGGCCCACTTCTTTCCTCCCATTTTTATGAGTACCTTTTAAATGATCTCCATGTCGAGGGGCTCTGTCACTGTGGGTGGTGATCACGCAGCCACTGAGAGCTAAAGTGCTCTCAGGCTGAGTCCCCTGGGTGAGCTGCTACAGGAAGGGGCACTCCTGTTGCTGCACAGGAAAGGATTATTAACAATTCATTTGGGAGTTGTGGCTCCAGGATTTCAACAGTTAATCATGCCAATTAAGTAAAAACACTTCAGTAGGATTTGCCCTATTAAATGGAACACTTCGGGAGGATTCACTCGATTAAACGTGGGTGGCTCGGGAGGACTCTGTGTGTGTGTGTGTGTGTGTGTGTGTGTGTGTGTGTGTGTGTGTGTAAGAGACAGAGACGGAGAAAGAGAGAGAGGAATGACATGTCTCATTGTGCAATGAGGGCATGTTAGCAGGATGGTTTAAAGGCAGCACCCAAACACCCATATATGCCATTAGGCCTAGATGACACTAAGCCTCACCCCCAGTCTGTCTTCTGGCTGTGGCATGGTGTTATAGGTTGAATATTATTTCGCTCTTCTCTGGTGTGGTTCGAAAAGTCTCAAATCTTGGGAGATGGATATTAAGCAAGTTAACCTCCTGGAGCCCTGGTTTCCTTCTCTGTGAATGGAGGCGGTAATAACCACAGGATGTGATAAGTGAATTACAGGAAGGGAGATGCATGGCTCCAAACACGTGTAGTGCATGCTCCGGTAATGGAAGTGTGCTTCATTTAACATGCCACTCCCCACACACATTGATTCAGTCACCCCGCAATTTATCATGTGCCCACTCAGGGCCAGGAGCTGCTGCAGACACTGGGGATTCAGGAGTGACCAAGAATGAGAAAGCACCCCTGCGCTGTTGGAGCTCCATTTCTCCTGGGGACTGTCAGTTAGAAACAAGCAATTTCATTGGATAGTTTTTAGTTAGCAAAAATGTTCCGAGTAGACTATGACGGACACTAGAGAGTGAAGGCATTCTAAGGAGGTGACATTAGAGTTGAAGCCTGATGTGGGCCAGGTGCAGTGGTTCACACCTGTAGTCTCAGCATTTGGAGGCTGAGGTGGGATGATGGCTTGAGTCCAGAAGTTCGAGACTGGTCTAGGCAGCATAGTGAGACTCCATCTCTACAATTGTTTTTTTTTTAATTTAAAAATTTAGCTGGGGGTGGTGGCACACAGCTGTAGTCCCAGCTACTCAGGAGGCTGAGGCGGGAGGATCACTTGAGCTTGGGAGGTCGAGGCTACAGTGAGCTGTGATGGCACCACTACATTCCAACCTGGGTGACAGAGTGAGACCCTGTCTCAGAAAAATAAAAATAGAGTTGAGGCCCGAATTCTCAGAAGGAGCCATCCATGAGAAGCCCATGGTACTCTCAGCAGTTTCAGAGGCCTTGAAGGCCACAGTCTTGGCCTATCTAGGATTGAATGAAGGCCAGTGTGTCTGGATGTCACTGCGATGTGGCAGGGCAAGATATGGGATTGGGGGGCTGGGGCAGAGCCTTGTCAGAGGGCTAAGTTCTTAGGTCTCTGGCCTGAAGTAGCGAGAAGAGGTCTCTAACAGATCCTCTTTCTCAGAAGGTATATCCACAATATCCCCCTCTCCATTCCATTTGGCAGCCAAATGTCAATGTCAATTGGAAGTGAATTTTTTTTAATGAATTGTGTAAGTAATTTATGACCAGTTCATTTTGTACTGGAAGCCAAAGTCAAATCAGGCATTGAATGTATACCAGAGGAATCCAGCGGACCAGCAGGGCCCTGCCCAGGTGACAGTGGGACAGTGAGGGTATGGCTGCTGAGCACCTGGGGATGAACATGAACTCACACTGGGGAAGCCCCTGTGCCAGACAGCCAGTTAAAGATGGGAATGGGGCTTCCTTGGATTCTGGGACTAGATGAGGCCTTCTGCCCGCACTTCTTAGGTGCTGATAGCTTGCAAGGAGGAGCCCAGGAAGTCACAACCCCATGGGCCTGTCTCTAGGCTTTCTGGTCATTGCCCTTCGTGGACCGCCCACAGATTCCTGCCAGCCCTTCTCCCCTGCACTTGCCCTACTGTGTGGGGATCCCAGGAAATGCTGGATTTTTTACCCAAGCGAAGGGCCACTCCCCATTGACTCCTTGGCCTCAGCCCTTGGCTTCTCACATGCTGAGCATCTTTCTTACTCAAAGTCTTTTAAAACCAAAATATTTTACAATTGTTATGCTTTTCTGATACCAACAAAATTCAGCTTGGTTACTAAAAATTCTCACATTACAGAAAAAGAAAGCAGATCTTTCTAGACCTTGACTCTCCCCAACTCCAACCCCATGTGGTCACATACACATTAGAGATGTGCTTATTCTAGCTACAAGTCACTCTCACTTCTTTCCTTTTTTCTCCTGAAATGCAAATATATACCTAGCCATCTCCTCCCCTTCCCTTACCCTCTTTGGGTTTTCAAGGGAGAGTAACTATCTATGCCTGTATCGTCTATGAAGGATTCACATTTTTGTCATCTGCAGCATATCATCCTACGTTGGCACCTGTTGGTTTTATATTGAAACCCTCCAGCTTTCTTCCTGCTGAGTTCTAGGGCTCTTTGGTAGTGTCTCCAGAGCTCTTAGCCACATTTGTCATTCATTCTTTCCCCCACTTTTTTATGACATTGGGATTTTCTAGACTCTTTGTGTTGGTTCTAGTATCCTGTTTTCCATTTTCCATCCATTTACTTTTAACCTATCCATGCCTTTATATTTAAAGTTTCTTGTAGACAGTATGTCTTGTTTTTATTACAGCCTGACAATCTGCCTTTTGATCGGAGTATTTAGTCAATTTACACTTACCTTAACTATCCATGTCGTTGGGTTTAAGTTTGCCATCTTGCTATTTGTTTTTATTTGCCCCTTCCATTCTTTTTTCCCCTCTTTTTCTTTACCCTTCTTCCTTCAGATTATTTTTAGTATATATTTGATCTCTGCTGTTGGCTTATTAGCATGTATCAGAGTCTTGGAGGACTTGCCAGAACACACAATCATATGTTTCACTTCTGATGTTATAAACCCGACACTACCTTTTTATTATTTTTGCTTTGAATGATTGAATGTTTTTTAAAACATTTAAAAGTGAGATTGGTAAAAGCATTGTATATTTCCCCACATATTTACATTCCTGGTGTTCTTCATGCCTTTGTGTAGATCCATCTTTCCACCTACTATCATTTTCTTTCAACCTGAAAGATTTCCTTTAGTATTTCCTATAGTAGAGATCTGCCGGTGATGAATTCTCTCAGCTTTTGTCTGAAAACAAACTTTATTTTGCCTTCATTTTGGGAGGAAATTTTCCTTGAATAT